TGCAAGTTTTCTAAGGAATTAGCTCCAAATATTTGCCTTCAAAGTTTGACTTTTGACAGATAACAACACTGTCTATTTGTTATGGAATCTAACAGAACCATGTCACAAAGTTTTACTTTCTCATTTATGTGGTATTTTAGGTATGTGTTTTACAGCATATAGTAACATACATATTTAGGGTTTGTCTCTTCCAGAAATCCTAAAAATCTACATATAAACTCAAAAAGTAAGAAGCGAATGGACAATGTAGAAAACTACTCTTGGGAAAAAGATAGTTTATTTCAGAACATTTAAAGTAAGCTATTGCATTCCTATGCTTTTTCCTAAGCATCGGTACAGAAACTTAAAATCTAGAATATTCTGCTGTATATTCTGGTAATCTAGATAGTCTTTTCTTATTTAAATAAAGACTAAAGCATTTAGTTTTACCAACACATTATAACTGGAATCACTCTTGATGGAAAAATGCCCTTTTTGAAAAAAGTTTTATTTATTTAAGTAATTTCTACACCCATTGTAGGGCTAGAACTCACAACCCAGAGATTGAGTCACGTGCCCTGCTGACTGAGCCAGCCATGTGCCCCCCAAAATGCCTTTTTTGCTTAGAAATCTCCATACACCTGTCACAGTATATTCCAATGAGATACAGAACAGGCAGCAGAATTTACCTGGCAGCCTTGACAATAATTTCCAAGAAAAGAAATGTATTAAAGAAATTAAAAACGGCCCAACTACTGATTAATGTTAAATAAGTGATGACAGTAAATTATGATGGTCAAGAATGTTACAGTGTTCTAAGAGTATCCCAGCCACCCAGGGCACAGATCTATCACACAGGAAAGGACAGTTGCTGTCTTCCATGAAATATACCTAAAATGTGGTAAAAGTATGTCATAGATACAGAAACTTATTACAGGCTTAGTAGTTACCAATTGTTAAATTTTCCTTTTACCTGTTTATATTTTCAACTAGGAGTTTCTCCCGGAATTATGTTTCATTTAATTATTACCAACTCTAAATTTGCCTTGATTTGATCTAAAATGGTCTGTTAAGGGTACTAGTGTTCTAAAATTTATATATACAGTATTATGTATTTTCATACCTTTCTACTAGCTATATTATTTCTTTTTAAATAGAGAAATTAAAATACAGGAAATATTCTAAATGGGATCTGATAAATGCTGAGCAGAATAGAATAATTATTTTTTGACTCTCACATTCCTCTAGATTATTCTGAAAAAAACTAGCAACAGTACCAACTTGCCCAGCTACACCATAATCTCAAGTAATCATTTCAATTAAATTTTCTAAGAATGATGGGGTGCTTTATTAAAAGAAAAAGTCAGCTGGGGCTAGGAAGAAAAATAAACACTTTCTACATAATATGAAAGAAAACTGGCTTGCACCTTGCACATGGCTTAGGTAGAAAAGTTCTGGATAAATTATGCTAAATTCCAGGGAAAAAATACATTAATAATTTTTAAATCTGCCTATACAGTTTCCTGAGCACCTTTTCCATGCTTTCTGGGTACCCACTCCCTAGTCGGTGCTGTTTAGTTTTTCTTGCCAACCACCCCCCAATAAAATAGAAAGAGATTTAACCTCAGTTGTTTATATTATTCATATTTGTGTATATATGATTTCCAATATTGCATTTTAAGTCTCTTATTCTAATTGGAAACATCTCATCCTTGTTTAAAACCTTAAAAATATAACCAAACAACTGGAGTGTTGGAACAAAAACCAATCTTTCTGAGAACAGAAAAAAAATGAGTAAGGAGTACCATGTTTGTTTAAATTTATTTTAATTTCTATGGTGTTATTCCTGCCAGGAAAAGTCCATGATAAGCAATAAACAGTTTATTTTGAAATTGAGAAGACTAGAGGTGGGGGGGGGGGCGAAGAACAAAACCCCAACCAAACAAAAAGCCAAGCTTTCTTTCCCTGTCTCCCAGGGTGTCCAGATGGCCTCAAAAATCAGGAGGAGACCTGGTCAACCTGTGGGTGATAGAGATTTATCCTTGGGAGCTGCCACAGACACGGTCCACATCCTTTCTCACAAGCTTCTTGCAAATCCTCAATATTATCCTGATGCCAAGACACCTCACTCTCTCTTGCCCCTTCCATTTTCCTCTCTTTCCCATCTGAACACAAGTCCTTCCCTTTTCCTAGCACTGGTTAGACAATAAACTCTTTTTATTAAAATTTTATAAAGAACAATATATCTCCCAGGGCAACTGGGTGGTTCAGTTGGTTAAGTGTCAACTTCGGCTCAGGTAATGATCTCATGGTTAGTGAGTTTGAGCCCCGTGTCTGGCTCTGTGCTGACAGTTCAGAGCCTGAAGCCTGCTTTGGATTCTGTCTCCATTCTCTCTGCCCCTCCCCCACTTGCTTAATGTCTCTCTCTTTAATTTAAATAAACATTAAAAACAACAACAACAGTATATTTCCTTACCTGTCACAAGACTCCTAGGGTGTGTGTGTGTGTGTGTGTGTGTGTATAAATAAATAGTTGGGCATAATGTGTATTGTAATTACTATTTCAGGATATGGTTCTGTATTATGATTTCATCTTGGCTAATCTAATATTTTAGAATTTTCTTTATTATTTCTATGGCTGTTAATAAAGTTTCTATGATCAAATACATATCTGCGAAACTTCACTTTTATCAATAGAAGTGTTTTTCTGTATCAAACTAACCATTCCACCTCTTCTATCTACTATTTGGTTTTGATCTCTAAATTAGGGGTCATTAATCTTTTTTTAAACACTTAATCTATATGGAGACTAGACTGAAAGCTGTGAAGCTTCTCTGCAGAAAACTGTACACATCTACAACATTTTGTACAGAGAGTGAGTTGAAAAATTCAAAACTCTCTGAGGTCAGATCGTAGCTGTGTTTCTGGTAAGCATAATATATAGAGAAGCTGAATTACACTATTGTACACTGGAAGCTAATGTAACTGTGTGTCTGTCAACTATACTCAAAAATTTTTAAAAACATAAAACAACATCTAAGGCGCCTGGGTGGCTCAGTCGGTTTGGTGTCTGACTTTTGGTTTCGGCTTAGGTCATGAGCTCACAGTTTGATTTTGAGCCCTGCACTGGGCTCTGGGCTGACAGTGCAGAGCCTGCATGGGATTCTCTCTCTCCACCCACCTCTCTCTGCAACTCTCCCACCCACTCTCTCTGTCTCTCTCTCAAAACAAATAAACTTAAAAAAAATTAAAACAACATCTGATTCTGAAGGCAAAAAAACTTCTCAGGTCCATCCTTGAGACCCACAGTTCAGAACGCCTGCTTTAAGTGAATTTAAGGGCCTTGTAGTTACTCCTGTTAAAATAATTTTGCTAAAAATGAATATTTCTTCAATTTCTAAGATCCCTTATGATTCTATTCATTTTTTAATCTCTAAAGTAAAATTGTTTTCTACTTATTGGTTAAAAAGGAAAGCAGGATGAACTATAATAGAATGCATATATAATTAATGTTTTCTTCCTTGTCTCAGTTCCTTTTGGGTATGATGTGCTAGGAAGATCTACATATATCTGACTCAAAATACAATCTACATGTGTCCAAAACATACACCCAACAGTCATGTATTTTTGCCTTGGGCATCAGAATTGAGCCCATTTAGAGATTACAATTTAAAAATTTACTGAAGGCTAGATAAGCTTCTTCTATATGAAAATAAAACTGTTCCTGGAGAAATTCTTTCAGGGCCTAGCACACTGCCTTATATATAGTAAGTGCTCAGTAAGTAAAATGGTCAACATATGTGAAACAGAGTCAGCACAGTTCTCAAGAATTACTTTCTTATCTTACACACGAACCTCACAATTTGGCAATGTAAGTCACACAGTGGAATCAACTGTAATTTTATAGTCCTCTTTTACACACCAAAAAACCCAAATTGCAACATTTAAGTTTTAAAATTTTAGTTTCAAATTATTCCAACTTTCTACTTGTATGTGTAAAACTATGATGGTTTATAAGTATGAAAACATGTACCTATCTACTTGCAGTAAGTATGTAATTTGAGTAGCTTTCCACTTGAATTGAAGGCTTTAGTGGCAATTGTGATCTTCCAGTGGATCAACTGCTAACTTTGTAACTAAGTTTGCCACAGATTGAGTGAGATCTTTGGCCAGGAAATAGAGTAAAGATAAATGGTTTATAAAGTGGTCAGATCTATTCAAGCCTCATCAGCATCACGCTTTGATATAGATACCTACACACATTTACATGAAACTCTTTTTAAAAAAGCATTCTAGGGGCGCCTGGGTGGCTCAGTCTGTTAAGCGTCTGACTTCGGCTCAGGTCATGATCTCACGGTTTGTGGGTTCAAGCCCAGCATCGGGCTCTGTGCTGACAGATCTGAGCCTGAAGCCTGTTTCAGATTCTGTGTCTCCCTCTCTCTCTCACCCTCCCCTGCTCACACTGTCTGTCTCTCTCTCTCAGAAATAAATAAAATAAATGAAAACATTAAAAATTGAAAAAAAAAGCATTCTACATTAAAAAATCTCAAGAAGCTGGTACAGAATATTTATTAAATGTTTTTGCTGTTGTTTATGCAAATGAACATGTTAAAATGTTAAATATTAAAATACTAAAAATTTTACAGTGTTTTAGCCAAATTCTCAGTTTAATCATTTAGAAAATCTTGTGATTTAATGATTTAAAAACAAATTCCATTTCTATTCATACAAATTGACTTTGCCCAAATGAGTACATATTTACACTTCATGCTTGCCTTTAATCATTGTTGCTCAGAGTTCAGGCCATCAAGTCATCATAGTGCCTTAGAATGCCATTTTGAGAGACTTTTATCACTCAGTGAAAATAACTACTTCAAATGATATTTTCATATTAAAAATTCAGCATAAGAATGAATTTGAGCCAACTATTTTCACTATTGATTAAAAATTTAATATTAAAACACTGCTTGCAATAGTATCTTATGTTGGATCCATGCTGAGTACTAACCCAAAATGCTTACCTGTAATGTACATGTGTGACTGTTGGTTTCCTGTATCCAAGGATCCAGGTTTGAATATCTATGGGTTCAGCTTTGGGATAAGCTATAGTTGTATCTATTATCCACTGGAGGCCTTTTGATTTGCTCTCTGAGGACAAAGCAAAAAAACCTTAAAATTGGATCAATTTTTACATTATTTACAGCAAGTAATATAATATAAATAAAGCATACTGATATATCTTTTGCTTTAAAAACACAGGATGGACTTTGGTTGTTACTGTTGTATAGGATTCACTTAGGATGAAACCAAGCATTTCCTAATATATTATAAAATGGATGAATCTCAAACAAATTAACAAATAACATGCACCATGCAAGCATTCAATACAATTACATACTATCAAAGTCTAATTTATATTTTATTACTCATAAAAATGGTCTATCAAAAAGTCAGAAGCTAAAGTATCACATCACAAAAGTGAAAAAAAAGAAAAAAACTCAGACCTCAAAATAAAACAAATCCATTAATAAATATTGGAATAAGGCCCCAAATTAGGCATTTTAGTGACACAAAATTGTCAGTTGCTGTTCTTGTTTAACACAGACTCCTGCCATTTTATCACAAGAGTTCTATAGAAATAAAGCAATAAAGCTGTCCACCCTTTGGTAAGTACAACAGATAACTGCTGTTGTGAGAGGGGGGTAAGAAAGTTCTGTTCACTCTGGTCCTTTGCATGCAGCTTTTATTCCCAGTGTGGAGTACAAAGTTGAGCAAGAACTGAGAATCCTCACAGAGAATGTGGATAGCCAGACTTGTGTGATAGTCTGTCCTTTGTTTGAAGTATTTAAGAGATCTCTAAGAGATCTCTAACATAAGACTAAATGTGCCTTAAGAATCAATGATATTTTACTTTCATATATCAAATAGCTAAAAGTTGAACTTTAAGTTTAAAAAATTTTTTTTAATTAAAAAATATTCTGAAGGGGAAAAATACTCATAAAAACAGGTAAAAGAAAGAAAGAAGGAGGGAAGGGAAGGGGAAGGGAAGGGAAGGGAGGGGAGGGGAGGGGAGGGAAGGGAAGGGAGGGGAGGGGAAGGAGGGGAAGGGAAGGGAAAGGAAGGGAAGGGAAGGGAAGGGAAGGGAAGGGAAGGGAAGGGAAGGGAAGGGAAGGGAAGGGAAGGGACCTACATGGCTCAGTTGGTTGAGAATCCAACTCTTGATTTGGGTTCATGTTATAATCTCACAGTCATGAGATCAAGGCCCATGTTGGGCTCCATGCTGAGCATGGAGCCTGCTTGGGATTCTCTCTCTGCCCCTCCCCTGCTCATGCTCTCCCTCTCTCTCTCTCTCAAAAAAATAAATAAACTTAAAAAAAAAGTTTAAATAATTAGGTGAAATAATAATAATATTTAAGTAACCTATTGGAAAAGGAACAGAGTTTATGTAAAGAAACAGATTTCAATAAGCTACTAGTGAGGTACATGCTGAAATGTTTAGGAGTAAAGTATATATTGATGTCTGCAACTTACTTTGAGTGCATTAAAAAAAGATGATGGACTAATGGATGGATAGGAAGGTAGCAAAAGACACAATAAAGCAAATATAGCAAAATGTTAATTATAGAATCTAGTTAGTTGGTCAGCTAATGGATATTAACTGTAAAATTCTTTCAACCTTTATGGATGCTTGAAAATGTTTATAATAAAATGGTTGGGAAAATCATCAGAGTTCAGTTTAATATCTATTAAGTCACACAATAAACAAAAAATATACTAACCCCCTTAAAGTTAATTAGACACAACTTAATTTTGATATGTATATGGGTCACATATTAAAACAGATACAAAGGCCTGTTTTGTGTTTATATGGAACAAAACACTGAATAGTAAATACAAACACTAACAAAAATAAAATACAAAATGCCAAAACATAGAGAAGAAAATGGCAAAATACAAGTAAAACCAGTTTTAGGGTATATAACTTTCTAGAATTTCTTATTTTTCCTAAACATCTGGGATAAAAATTTTAACTAAGGTAAGATAAATAAGTTACTTTGCTTTGGTTATAAAAGTATATTATTTTTCTCCAAAAGAAAAAATTTTTTTTCTTCACTATTGTGTGATCAATGTAACAACTGCCCCTACCCTTGAGATCTAGATACCACAGAGTATTACTGACTGGGTAAAATTATTTAATAATGGCAGTCTTTATTAGTGCAACTAATTCTATTTGGAAGACCTTTGCCTTCAAGCCTCAAATTGGCTGACATTGCCACAGTGGCCGTCTGAAGCTATTCTGAACTTTCCTTTTCTATTAAAAGACTATTTCAATTTGTCTTTTTAATAGATGATGAAAGATTGAGAGAGCTGACTGCCAAGCAGCTGCTTAAAAAAAACACATGAATGGAAAGCTAAGTGCAATCTTACAGGCATTATCTCTATGTCTTATTTAAAAACACATATTTCTGAGGGCTAATCATTTCCATTTTTTATTTTATCTAATGAATATACTTTTTAAATAGTAAAACACTACTAAGGAAACAGCCCTGGTGCGTTTCTTTCAGTTTTTTAATTTATCATTTTCCACCAAATTTCAGTGTCTCAGATTAACTTATTCAAAACAGGCTTTGTGTTATTGACACATATACCTTCTGCAAACCTTCACAATGTACCAGGTATCTCTAAGACAGTTGTATCTTTGAGTATGGTTTGCATTTTCCTGGCCATAAAAGTAATACATACTCATTATAAAAAAAATTTAGGGGGTGCCTGGGTGGCTCACTCAGTTGAGCATCAGACTTTGGCTCAGGTTATCATCTTAGGGTTCATGAGTTCGAGTTCCACATTGGGCTCTCTGCCATCAGCACAGAGCCCGCTTCAGATTCTCTCTCTGTCCCACTCTGTCTCTGTCCCTCCCTTGCTCTCTCTCTCTCTCAAAAAGAAATAAACCTTAAAATTTTTTTTTAATTTCAGAAAAGTATTAAGAAATGGGGGCAAATCATTCAGAAAGTTATAGTTCTGAGAAGCAATCACTGCTAATGCTTGGAATCTCTCCTTAAGCTCATCTCCTAAAGCCTAATGTTGACACTTTTGAACTCATAATGGTTTCACTAGAGTTGTATGTCCCTCCCTCTCTATTAACATGATATAGCATGAGCCTATTCCAAAGCCATAAAACTCCTGTATAAACATGGTTTGTAATGGTCATGTTGCGTTGTTTTGGATGGATATTTGACAATTACTTCTCTGTTCTCCCCTCCAATTTTTTTGCTATTAAAAATAATGCTGAGAAAAAAAAATCAAAAATAAATAAATATATAAAAATGCTGGGATAAAGCCTTTTGCCAGTATTTGAGAGTATTTCCTTTTGACAAGTATTATTTGTAGTGGAATGACGGAGTCATTTGAAGGCTCTTCATAAACACTGTCAAACTGTGTTCAGTTCATACTCTTATAAACAAACCCTCAAAACTTTCTACATTTGATAAATGAACAAAATATACATTATTACTATTCCATTTGCATATCTACCATTAGTTTTTCAACTCAGTCATTTCTATTCCTGTATCTTTACCTTAGCAATTCCATTCTATGAATCTATACTACAGACTATACTTCCACAAATATGTAAAGATATTTAGAGGGATGTTTACTGAGGCAATGGGAATAAACAGGAGCATAGGTAGGCAGGGTAAGGGAAAGACACTTTTGACTTTATGCATTTCTGGATTATGTGAATAAATGATTATAAGCATGAACTCTATAAATAAAAACATTAAAAAATTAAATTTTGGGGGTGCCTGGGTGGCTCAGTTGGTTAAGAGTCCAACTTAGGCTCAGGTCATAATCTCACACTTTGTGAGTTCGAGCCTTAGTCGGACTCTGTTTGACACCTTGGAGCCTGGAGCCAGCTTCAGATTCTGTGTCTCCTCTCTCTGCCCTTTCTCCACTTGTGCTCTGTCTCTCTCTGTCTCTCAAAAATAAATAAATGTAAAAAAATTTTTTAAATTATTTTCTCATCTTCTCCTTGAGTATTAGTTCTACTTGATAAAAATTATAAATGTAAAAAAGAACAATACTGCTATCTTCTGGAACTCCAGATAATCCCTGAGTTCCAACAAAAGAACAAAGTCCTAAGAACCATCATACCGAATTCTTTAGTGTCTCCTCCTGCTGGACTTCCATTTTCCTGTCGTGCTACAAGTGCACTCAAAATAATGCTTGTTGCCCCAATCCTTGGCAGAGTGACATGTGTAAGAAATGGCAAGTTATTTTTCTTGGCAAAAGCTTGACTTGTTTCTCGCCTCTTCCTGAGGAAGCCCCCTTCTGGAAACAAAACAATCCATTTTCGATCTCTGCTCCTATAATTATTTTCTAGGTGCTTTTTGAGAAGAAGAAGCTGCTGGTCACGATGCGATTTTCCCTGTGAAGGCAGATACACATAGAGTAAGTAGAGGTATGTTGGAAAATAATATCCCATAAAATCAAGTAGAAACAACAGTTTCTAAAGTACAGTGATATCCACCCCCCCTTTCCCCTTCTGACCACAGTGGTAATATGAAGTGATTAGCACTTCCATTACATTAGCACTCCAAAAGAACAAAAACTGCTCTACTTGCTCCTGAGAGTTCACTCATTCATCAGATCAGTGAGTATTTACAGAGCGCCTATCACTCGGCAGGCACTGTCCTACACACTGGAGATAGACAGGGAATAAGAGACCCTTGTGGAGCTGAATCAAGTGGAAACGACAGAAAACTACGAAGTGTAAACTCTTTGTAGCTGGTGATGTGTTAGGAAGAAAGAGGGTAAGAGGACAGAGAAGGTCGACAAGGCCAGGGACATCAGCCCCATGGAGGTGAAACTAGAGCAATGAGCTGATGACGTGAGGGCCTCTGTCACATGGAGAGGAGAAGGAGAGTCTTCTAGGTGGCAAGAGCAAAGGACAAAGGCCCTGAGATGGGAAGGAGCTCTGCGTGTTCAAAGAACAGTTTCCAAGGCCAGTGTGGCTGAGGGGTGAAGAGTGAGGAAGAGAGTGGTAGGAGGGGAAATTGCAGAGAGGCTCCAGTGCGTGCTTTATTCTCAAAAGCACCAAGAGTGTTTCCAGAAGAAACTAGATAATTGCACAGCATGTGAAAAGCAAAAATGTTCTGTACATAAAATTGTCTGGAATAAAGTGTATGTGTTTTCTGACACTCACGTTCATAGAGCTTAGAAGTTTTTTTACATACTTCCAGCTTATTGCTGAACTTGTGGTTCTCAGATGAGGCTTAATCAGATTCATCACTTATTCATTAAGTACTTATTATGTGCAAGGCTGAAGCTGCTAAATACATAAATACCAGAAAAGTGAGGTATTACCATACATAAATACTCCTGCATATATTTCAGTTTTTGAGAAAATAAAGCATGTGATACTTAGCATATAGGGAGATACTATCATGTAGTGCTGACTAGACAAGAAGGGATGATTCTTTCTGCTACAGTAAACTATCCCTAATGTTTGGGACCCACTCTCAATCTATCTTCTTCTAACAAACCCATACTCATTCTTCATATATGTGCCAAATACCATCTTCTCCTCCAAAGTTTTTTCTGGATTCAAAAACATAAGTAAGTATTTTCCAGATTCATAAAAATCTGATGAATTCACTTTTCCTACTATGAATTACCAAAATATTTTTCTTATTTATTTATTTATTTAATTTATTTATCTATCTATATATCTATCTATCCACCTACCTACCTATCTACCTATCTACCTATTTATCTACCTATCGACCTACCTACTGGTAATTTAGGTACCTTCTGTATCATATAACAGTGACTTATAAATAAAAATAATAGTGAAAATATGGATGATGATAGTGGTCATCATGATGAAAATGATGGTGAAGGGGGCAGGCACTGTTCTGAGTGTTTTACTTAATTTAACCCCCACAACCACCTTATGAGGGGAGGACCTACTTATATTATTCTCATCTGAACACTGAGGAAACTGAAAGTTTAAATAACTTGCCTGGTCAACATGGCTAAGAAGCAGAAGAGCAGGGAGTGTGGCAGGTGCTTGATAAATCTTTACTAAGCATTGTACTGTTTAGATAGGAGGAGGGTAGAGATTAAAGTATTTGCAATGTCACCATTTTACTGCTGGAGAATACTCAAATTCAGATTGAAATAAATATTTCAGAGAACAAAGATTCAGAGGAAGAGCTCCTTAAGATAGTGGAACTGGCTGTATCTATTATAATTGGTTTTGTTTTGCCCATGTTTACAATAAACTGTCAGTTTGATCAGGCTATCACCATGAAAAAAGAATGCTCATTGCTTACCTGTCTTATAAAGAAGTCTCCATGAATTAGAGAAACAATCCCAAAGTTTGTGTACTTAAAAATATGGTCCATCAACCACATCATTTGAGCAACAACCTAGCATATATAAAAGCAAGAAATAATTTTATGTTAAACAGAAGAAACCTGCTATAGTCTAGCCAGGTCTCTAAGTTTTAAATATAATTATCCCACCATACTCTTAATTAGCCTAAATATCTTAAATCTAGTGTTTATTTATACAATTAAAGCACAAAGTCTCCATGAACAATTACTGGTCTTGATTCCAAGTCCTGAAATCCCAACTATATTATTGTGTAACAAATAAAAAATTTTTCTTTTATTATTATTTTTTTAAATGTTTATTTATTTTTGATAGACAGAACACAAGCGGGGGAGGAGAAGAGACAGAGGGAGAAAGACACAGAATCTGAAGCAGGGTCCAGGCTCTGAGCTGTCAGCACAGAGCCCAATGCGGGGCTCGAACCCACAGACCATGAGATCATGTCCTGAGCTGAAGCTGGATGCCCAACCAACTGAGCCACCCAGGCACCCCTTTTCTTTTATTTTAGAGAGAGAGAAAGTGAACGGGGAAGTGGGCAGAGGGAGAGAGAGAATCTTAAGCAAGCTCCATACTCAGTGCGGAGCAGGACACACAGGGCTCAATACCACGACCCTGGGATCATGACCTGAGCTGAAATCAAGAGTCAAACACTCAGCTGAGCCACCCAGGCATCCCTAAATTAACTTCTTAAATTTGGACTTAACAATTCCAAATTTGTTCTCTCTAAGCAAAGTCTCTGGTAATTCTTATAGAACTTGTAAATTTATTTTGAACCAATAAAATGGCTAATGTTACCAAATGAGGGCTGTAAGTTTAATTAATAAGCACTAAAGGTTTGTAAAATGGGACTTTAATGGCTAAAATATTAAAAGTTATAAATTATAAGTGCATTATATATATAAATGTAAAATTACAAAATTTTATAAAGGTACAATGTCCAAAATATAAAAACATTTAAAATTTCATTTAATAGAATGAGTTAACATTCTATTACATTAAGAAGAATATTTGTTACTTTATGCAAGGCTATGTTATTCTCCAGCATAAAAATATTTACAGGACTGGGGTGCCTGGGTGGCTCAGTCATTTGAACATCCAACTCTTTTTTTTTTTTTTAATGTTTTATTTATTTCTAGGAGAGAGAGAGAGAGACAGCATGAGCAGGGGAAGGTCAGAGAGAGAGGGAGTCACAGATTGAAACAGGCTCCAGGCTCTGAGCCGGCAGTCAGCACAGAGCCTGACGCGGGGCTTGAACCCACGAACTGCGAGATCATGACCTAAGCGAAAGTCGGACGCTTAACCGACTAAGCCACCCAGGCACCCCTGAACATCCAACTCTTCTTGATTTCAGCACAGGTCATGATCTTGCGGTTGTGGGTTCAAGCCTTGTGTGGGGTTCCACAATAAAGAGCCTACTTGGTGGAGATTCTCTCTCTCTGCTTCTCCCACATGTGCTCACACTCTCACATTCTCTCTCTCTCTTAAAATAAATGAATAAATTTTAAAAAAGGCACCTCAGTTCTTAAATACAGAAATACTATCCCTTGCTGATAAGAATTAATACTCATATTAAGAGCATAAGACTTTATTTCAAACAAATTTCAAAATTAGAAATAAGTGTAAACAGGGGTCTAATTAATAAACTGGTTAATTGTTCTTTCCTGCTGAGGAGATAGCATTTCTTGTTATAGTCCTTAAATAAATTAATTAAAAGCTACAACCTCAATCAAGAGTGCAATAGACCTCTACTTTGGTTTCTATGGGAATACCATATGTAAATTTCATCTCTAAACACCAAATTATATGAACTTATATATTAGGAAAAAATAAGCATGGATACCATCTCTACTTTTACAAAAACACTAAAAAAAGCTGACAAAGAATATAACATTAAAGCTTCTAGCTTAATTTTTCAGCATCACTAAATAGGCCAATTACACAACTTGTACTTCATTCCCTTTAGTACATTAAATCACTTTAAAAAATAAAGATACATGCCCAGTGAAGTACTGACTCCCCAAGTCAATTAATACAGAATAAAATGATCACCAATATCTGATTTTTCAGTCTTGTTTTGTAATGATGACTATTATTTAAATAAATTGAAATTTGAACTAAGTGGAATTTGTTGACAAGTGCCCCAAGGAACAAAACAAAAAGCAAGGGACTTCAACCTAAAAAATACTTGAGCTTTATATACAGTATGAAGTTGAGTGGCAATTTATTAATTTCTGGGTTTAAAATACCACACTAAAGCAACAAGCTTTACTTGTTCTAGCTTTAATGTATGTTTACCTTATATTTTTAGTGGATTTACCTCTTCAGTTAGAAGGTCACTTAAAACAAATCAATTCATTACCCAAGGGATACAGAAATGCTGAGGCATAGGAGCACATGTACCCCAATGTTCATAGCAGCACTCTCCACAATAGCTAAAACATGGAAAGAGCCTAAGTGTCCATCAACAGATGAATGGATCAAGAAGATGTGGTTTATCTATACCATGGAATACTACATGGCAATGAGAAACAATGAAATCTGGCCATGTGTAGCAACATGGATGGACCTTGAGGGTGTTATGCTGAGCGAAATAAGTCAGGCAGAGAAGGACAAATATCATATGTTTGCACGTATAGGAGGATTAGGAGGAACTTGACGGAGGAACAAGGGGGAGAAGAAGGGCGGAAATGGTGGGGGAAAGGGAGAGAGGCAAATCATGAGAGACTCTTGAATGCTGACAAAAACTGAGGACTGATGGATGTGGGGGGGAGGGGGGGATGGGCATGGAGGAGGGCACTTTGGGGATGAGCACTGAGTGTTATGTAGAAACTAATTTGACAATAAACTATTTGTAAAAAAAAAAAAAACAAAAAAAAACAAATCAATTCAATAAAATAACCAAGCTATCTTCTAATATTTATATGGATAATTCTGTCCTAACTTATTAATTTAAAGTTTATTTATTTGAGAGAGAGTGTGTGCACACACAAGTGGGTGAGGGGCAAGGAGAGAGAATCCCAAGCAGGCTCCGCGGCATCAGCACAGAGCTTGACACAGGGCTTGGACTCACATGAGATCATGACCTGAGCTGAAATCAAGAGTCAGATGCCCAATCAACTGAGCCACCTGGGTGCCCCAAGTACTAACTTATTTTAGGGGAAATGTTACAAGCTAGTAAATGTTTATTACATGTCTAATAAAGTTCTTTTGATAGAAATTTTTAAAAATTTAGTTTCACTCATCAATTTCCATAAAAGTTATCCATTCACAGATAACTTACTTAAAAGGTACCAGCACATTTAGAAAATACAATTAATCTTTTGTTTCATATTCCTCAAAAGAAGGTCAGTAAATACCAGCTGCCTGAACCAGCTCTGTCGATGTTTCATAGGCCTGTGACTAAGAACTTTCTTAGGTCTTTTCAAGACAAAATTGGCCCATATCAACTATTCTTTATCTGGAAGCATGGATTTTCTAGATCAAAAGATCTAGAGAAGCTTTCATGAAGGACTCCATTCCTTATACCCTTCTGAAATTATAGTAAAGTCAATGGTTCTCCTATTTAGAAATTGGTAAGGACAATTTAGGTTGTCACAAAGACTAGGGAGTGCTACCAGCACTTACTGGGTAGCAGCCAGGTATGGAAAACATTCAGCACTAGCCAGGACAGTTCAGAACAACAGTGCTGTCCTACCAAAATGCCAACAGGACCTCTGCTGAGTAACACTAATGGGTGCTTCAAGAAGTTTCCTGAATCCTAAAAGCTATGTTTCACTCACATTACCATTAAAATAATACTTTTTTAAGTTGGCCCACAAGTCAGCATTAGCCTTCTTTCACTGAATATACCCATGGAGTATGCAATAAGTCAGCAAACATTTTTACTGGTAAATAAAAATTAATACTGCCTTATACTTGATAGGCAGGAGGAAGAGATTATAATGTTTCCAGCTTTATATTTCTCAATTGCTCCTTTATGAAAGAAGATTAAAAAAAATTCTCAAGATTGCAAATTATTCACTAATATCAGATCATAATAAAAATGTTTAATATAACTAATCTGAAAATAAAAACAAAATTACTCTGGACAGAAAAATGAACCTAAGACAAACTAACAGAAATCTTTTTATAAAAGTAGAGCAAACAAACCAAATTTTCTTTTGTTTACATAATGGGTGAATTTCAGATTACCTAGTATTCTAGTTAATACACTTATCTTCCATGCCAAACTGGGGTTAAAGCACAAAAGTGAGGGATATTTATACTGACCACTGTAATCATTCTTTGACATTCAAAAACCGATCAAGGATTCTGTAAGCCCTCAGAATAATCACTGTGAGTAAAATGATCATATCAATAAGAATAAAAATATCTGGTAATTGGGGATTCTCTTTCATATAAGACCAAGTAATCTAATTTTTACAAAATTTTAACATCACAAGTAATAAATATTATTATGAATGCAAATATATTTATACTGTGGTATTTTTTTTAAAAACATTTTTATTTATTTCTAGGAGAGAGAGAGACAGAGTGAGCAGGGGAGGGTCAGAGAGAGAGGGAGTCACAGACTCTGAAGCAGGCTCCAGGCTCTGAGCTGGCAGTCAGCACAGAGCCCGACGCGGGGCTCGAACCCACAAACCGCGAGATCATGACCTAAGCGAAAGTCGGACGCTTAACCGACTAAGCCACCCAGGCGCCCCAATACTGTGATATTTTCTAACAGTTCAAGAAAGGATTGAATTTATTCCACATTCCAGCAAGATTATTCCTCTGCTTTTCAGATAAACAAGAAAAGATTCTGCAGTATCAAACATATTTTCCTTTACTCTCACCTCATTTTCCGACCCACCCTGACCTACTGAATCAAAAGCTCTAGGACCTAAACATCCCAAGCTTAGTCTTGCCTTGGTGTTCTGGTCAAGACTGTTTCACTCAGGAAGAAGGCCCCTGCTTCACCACTCTAACTGGGCCACCTTTATGTTCCTGTATCTCTACGAAGTCTTCTCTACCGATCATGGGGAGTATCCCTCCATGGAATACTGTTCACTTCGTTACATTTTCCTATGCTGGACTCGTCACTCCTTTACAAGGATGTGCCTTACAAGATGGTGTTCTATCCTTACAGTTACTACTTATGAATATGAAGCACATAATAAACTTCTATTGATTTGTTTCTTTACTATCAGGATAAATATTAACTCCATTAATTTATTACATTTATTTAGTTTTCTATGAATACAACCTCTTCAACTTCTAAGGCAGTAATTCTTTTAATGCTGAAGACTGAATTTATTTTAAACCCACCCAGTTGATAGATATATTTTAGTTATCAATATAAGCCATGTAAAAACAACAGTTCAATCACAGCCTAGTAACACTTAATAAAATGGGCCTAGTATCTTTCTGTTCCATTTCCTTTGTAAAGGAAATCCAAAGTAGTTACCTTTTTTCCTTCTGGCTAAAGATCCCCAAGATCATCTAATTCACTGACCAAGTATACGCCTCTCTCTTAGACGATATTGCTTTTTGTGTCTGTGCTCCTCAAACCAGTTATCTGACACTTCACCTCAAGACAGTCCTCAATTTGAAACTTATTAACTCTGCTTCTACCTCAATTAGTTTTTAAAAAATAGCTTTGTAGAGATGAGTCACATTATTTGCCAGTTACTTTTTTTGAAAGTCTGTAAATTCCTGTCCTGGAGTTAGAAAAAGATTTTGAATTATAGATTAGAATTCTAATTATAGTCAGAATTACTTTATAATTATATGTATGTTCCTTTTTAAAATTTTCTCAATTTTCAGGAAAAGTATACATATTAAAGTTTATGTTGCAAATCACAGTAAGATATTGGAATTGAGTCTTTGTTAACCGCCCCCTCTCCCACCCACGTCTGCCTTCAGAACGGCTTACCAGTCCTTTGTCCTGGAGGCACATCATCAGAGTGCATACATCTCCTGTTGCCTGATGATTCACCAACATTACTGCTTCATCTTTGGAAACTGCTTTAATATCTTCCCCCCATTCCATCACTGTAAGAATAAAAAAGCTGTCACTTTAAAGATTTTACATTACTAGAAACCTTATATTAGAAAAACTGGTGGACATCAATAATGTCACGTTGCCTAGCTAAAACTTCTGAAAATCTGAACTAAGTTTATTTCCTATAAATATCAGCATGCTGATATATTGATATAATATTTTATAGAGCACCAAAATACCCATTAAGATGTAAAATGGTCATCCTTTGATACCTAAGTCTACTTCTTAGAATTTATCCTGCAGAAACATTTGTTCAAATAGGTAAAAATATATGCATAAGGGTATACTTATTGGAACTCCAATGTTTACCAACAGGGGAATGGATAAGAAAATTATGATATAATAGAAGAGTAAAACCCCATTTAAAGAATAGAAGGTATCTCTATACACTAACCCAGAAAGGACCTGTTATTAAGTAAAGTAAATCACAAAAAAGTATATATATATATATATATGGCATATATATATATGGCATGATCCCACCTTTTTAAAGAAGGAATAAGATTTACATATTATTTAATACATTGAAAAAGAGCTGAGGAATGAATTCCAAACTACTGATATTGATCATAACTGGGAGGCTTCCAGAACCCTTCAAATCTACTGCATAATATATTTCTACTTTATAATAAAATCTGAAAATATCACAAATATATGCAAGTCCATTTTAAAATAAGAAAACTAATATTTAAAATCTCCAGATGAAATGTCATTGTACTAAAACCTGTATGTTCACTCTGAGGAAAACAGTGGTATCTCTATGCAGTTATACCTCATTTTACAGTGAATTTACTTCACAGAAATAATATAATTGAGCATCAGTTTCAAACATCAGGATTCTACAAGACAAAGCTTCTAGGGTTCCTCAAATGTCTGACATGAATTATGAGAGGCTGGTTACACATTAGTATTCACTCATCTCACATACTGCTGAAGGTGAAGAACTCAAGCCAACTGTGTATAACAGTTCTGGATGAAACAGGGTTGAGGAGGTATGGAGCCCACTGGCTCTGCCTCCCCCAGCCTCCATCCTTCTCCAGTGGGCAAGGCGGGGAGGCCGCACAGTTGGGTCCAAATACTTTCTCCCAAACGGTCAACTGCAAATTGTGTGTGACTGCTGCAGAGCCTTTAATTACCAAAGACAAGAAACCATGACAGTTTTTTTTAAACGAGCGGAAAACTTGTTTTGGGGTTTTTGGTATCCCCTACGGGTCTTAATGTTTTTGTTTTTAAGTTGTCCCCATTTGTTTCAAACCTTTCCTGGTTCATTAAGTGAAGGAGGCTTGGACATGTTATTTGAAAACAAGTAACACATAATATATTTGTATGTCCTGAACCTCACGCGATGTAACTTCAGATCCATAACATGTGTGAAAAATAAATATTTCATTAATTTAAAAAATGCACCCTGCATTGTCACCCGAACATAGTGGAGCTCCTCATAAGAGCTCATCTGAGGGATACATCAGTGACTTAGTCAGTTAAGTGGCCAACTCTTGATTTTGGCTGAGGTCATGATCCGAGGATACTGATAGCACAGAGCCTGCTTGGGATCCTCTCTCCCTCTCTCTCTCTGCCCCTCCCTGCTTGTTCTCTCTTCCTGACAAAAAACAAAAACAAAAACAAAAACATAAACCAAAAAAACCCTTAAAAAAAAGAGTGCATTTCAGAAAAGCATTCTGCTAATTTTTCTTTCTGTTAAAACCTATTTATTCATTGATTTTAAAGATCTTTAAATTTTTTATTAAGGAAATTTTCAGCTGAGCTAAACATATGGTATTAAATTGTGGGACTTCCTTGCAAAGTGAGGTATTCCAATCATTCTAACAGATTCCAATCTATCTTATTACCAACACTCAAATAGCCTATGTGGGAAAAGTTTTTATTTAAAAATTTTTAAGTGAATGCAGGATAAAAGTACACTAAAGGACATCAAATAATCCTTAAAGAATAGAGACAGAGCACTGGGAAAGAGTCCAGCCCCTTGAAAAATGCAGCAGTACCAACTTTCCTTCCCAGTTGCCTTTCCTTTCCCAAGTTCCCAACTACTGAAATACATTTAAACAGCTGCTATATCATACATTGCTGTGGGGAGTCTGAATTGGTACAACAGTTTGGGGAGTCAATTTGGCAATATATATCAAAACTGAGAAGTGCAAAAATCTTTTTACCCAGAAATTCTACTTCTAGGAATTCATCTTACAGATACACTTATTAATGTGCAGAATGACACATATGCAAAACTAGTTACTGAAGCCTTGTTTATGAGAGCAAAGAGGATAACAACTCAAAAGGGAGACTAACTCAAATTCACAGAAATTGAAAAAAATGATGGTTTCCAGGAGGGGGAAAGTGGGAGGTGTTGTGCAGCAGTAGTTTCAGTTTTGCAAGATAAAAAAAAAAGTTCTGGAGATTGGTTACACAATAATGTGAATATACTTAACAATGCTGAACTGTACACTTAAAAGTGGTTAAAATAGTAAATTTCATGTTCTGTATATTTCATCACAATTAAAATTAAAAAGGGAGCCTAAATTATAATATATCTATGCAAAGGAATAGATACAATCATAGCATCTGTATGGTAATGTGGAATGATATACTGTAAATAGTAACAGCAAAACGCTGAACAGTGTGTCAAGGAGCCACCAGTTGGGTTTTAAAAAGGATGGAGGGAAATATGCTTGCTAAATAAAAATTCCCCCTATCATTCCTTTGCTGACAACCCTTCAACAGAGACAGAGACAGACAGACAGACAGACAGACACACACACACACACACACACACACACACACATACCATTCTTTCATTAATTCATTATTCATTCAGTAAATCAGCACCAGGAGCTGTTAGATGTTGTGGATATAAAATAAAAAGAACAAAAGTATTATTCTTTTAATTTTTTAAAATGTTTTTTAATTTATTTCTGAGAGAGAGAGACTGTGAGCAGAGGAGGGGCAGAGAGAGAGAGAGGCAGAATCTGAAGCAGGCTTTAGGCTCTGAGCTGTCAGCATAAAGCCAGATGCGGGGCTCGAACTCATGTACTGTGAGATCATGACCTCCTGAGCTGAAGTTGGATGTTTAACCAACTGAGCCACTCAGCTGCCCCCAAAGTATTATTCTAATAGCAGTTAAAGCGTTCATAAAGAGTCTAGCTTGGTTCTATAAATATTGAGCTATTAAGAGGTAATGTGGAAAGTCTTCTGGCTCCACATCTATATAAACAGAGGTTTCATAACCAAATGTTCCTTTAATGCAATTTCTACCACATGAATGGAAAATGCTAGATACCTAGGCCTATGCAGTGAGAAAGCATTGTAAGTGAATATAACTGCAAATAAAAATATTTTACATAAAATATATCTTACCTATTCGCTTTATATAAAGCAAATAAATCTAGTATGTTGGCTTATCTCAAAATTTAAATTGAATTTAGAACCCTTTGAACTGGGTTGAATAGTAGCCCCTCCCCCCAATTTATATTCATTCGAAATCTGGGCCCTCAACCTAAATCCAATATGATGGGTGTCGTCTGAGAAAAGGGAAATGTGGACAGGCACATATGCAGGGAGAATGCTATGTGACAACAGAGGTTGAGACTGGAGTGACAGACCCACAACAAAAGGACTGAGGACAGCCACCAGAAGCTGCAAGAAGCAAGGAAGGACCCTCGCCGAAAGCCTTCAGAGAGAGCATGGCCGTGCCGACGTCTTGATTTTAGAACTTCAAACCAACAAGAACTGTGAGAGAATCAATTTCTTTTGTTTGAAGCCACCCACCTTGTAGTACTTTGTTATATGATAGCAGCCCCCCGAAACTAACATACCTTACCCGCCTCAACTTTCCCCATCCCTTTTCTCTATTTTCTATTCTATTCCCCACCAAGTTATAGGGGTTTTTTTCTTATCAAATATAGGAAAAGAATGGCCCTGTACTTTAAACATCTAGAACATTTCAACAGACATCTAATGTTATGTATTCTAAATGGCTTTCACTGTTTGTTACTACAATCCTTTCAGGGTAAAATCATTAAGAGTTAATCCAATATATGTTTTATCTTACAGCCACAACTTGGCCAAAATTTATTTTCAAACTAAAAGTCAACTTACTGAGATCCACATGGGATATTAAATCAAGTAAGTAAAGGTAGTTCAATCAACTTCTGATTAAAAATGATTCTCGGGGCGCCCGGGTGGCTTAGTCGGTTAAGCGTCCGACTTTCGCTCAGGTCATGATCTCGCGGATCGTGGGTTCGAGCCCCGCGTCGGGCTCTGTGCTGACTGCCAGCTCAGAGCCTGGAGCCTGTTTCAGTCTGTGACTCCCTCTCTCTCTCTGACCCTCCCCTGCTCATGCTGTCTCTCTCTCTCTCCTAGAAATAAATAAAAATATAAAAAAAAAATGATTCTGATGTTGCAATAAAGTCATACTGAATTGTGTAAAATCTAAATTTTATTCAATAATTTTAGTTTCTGGGGCACCTGGGTAGCTCAATTCTTGAGGATCCCACTCTTTTTCTTTTTTTTAATGTTTACTTATTTTTTTTGAGAGAGAGAGAGACAGAGATAGAGACAGAGCGTGAGCAAGGGAGGACAGAGAGAGGGGGGAGACAGAATCTGCAGTAGGCTCCAGCCTCTGAGCTGTCAGCACAGAGCCCAACACAGGGCTCGACCTCACAATCTGTGAGATCATGACCTGAGCTGAAGTTGGACGCCCAACTGACTGAGCCACTGAGGTGCCCCAAGCATCCTACTCTTGATGTTAGCTCAGGTCATGGTCCCAGGGTCATGGGATTGAGTCCCACAATGAGCTCTGTGTTGAGCATGGAACCTACTTAAGATTCTCTCTCTCTCTCTCTCTCTCTCTCTCTCTCTGCCCCTCTCCCCGACTCATCCTTCTCTTTCTCTAAAATAAAAAATTTTTTAAAAACCCAAATAAATTTAATTTCCAATATTTACGGTATTCTTTTACCATGCGTTTACCATACCACTA